CTGGGTTCCATGGTTTCTAGGATTTTATGGTTCCTTGGTTCCATGGTTCCTTGGTTCCATGGTTCCTAGGATTTCATTGTTCCTGGGTTCCATGGTTCCTGGGATCCATGGTTCCTAGGATTTCATGGTTCCTTGGTTCCACAGTTCCTAGGATTTCATGGTTCCTAGGATTTCATTGTTCCTGGGTTCCATGGTTCCTAGGATTCCATTGTTCCTGGGTTCCATGGTTCCTGGGATCCATGGTTCCTAGGATTTCATGGTTCCTTGGTTCCACGGTTCCCACTCAACTCAGCAAACTCAAGATGACCCCAAAATAACTCAAGTGTTTAAGCGACTTTAAAACCCAGGATGTGTTAAACTTTTCAGCCTGGACAAAGAGAGGCAGGAATGTGTTTGATCTCCTTGGATCAGCCAGAAATCATCCAGAAAAACCTCCTGTCCCACCAGCACAGCTCCATGCTGGGCTCACTGTACCCCACGAGCTCAGGGAGGGCATCACAGAGGTGATGACACCAAACCACCTCATTGTAGGGTTAAAAACAATCTCCTGAGCTATGATATTTAACAGCGAAATATTAGAAAACATCCACAGAGTGATTTATTATAATTAATTTCACATCTTTGACTGCAAAAGGCAATGCAGAGACACTCTGCCACATTTTCAGGCCAAGGGCACAGCTTGTTACACTCAGGGGACACAGCCACAAGTAGAACTCACACTGTGTAACTCATCAGGTGACATTTCATCCACACCACATTTACATATTTCACATCAAATGACTTTTTCCTTGTTTTATTTTTTTTTTCCAACAGGAAATTAAAAAAAAATCCCAGATTTGGCACATTTCATCAGCTGGATGTTGCCTACCTAAGTCAATTAATTGAGGCATAGGGAATGGTGCTGATACCCTGCCTTAGAATGATTTCCCAAGATTCTTCTGGATATGAGATGAGACATCTCCAGAGACTGTTCCCTGCCAAAGTCATTTTAAATAACTATATTAAAATTCCAGGGGAAGGTACAAGTAGGGCCTGATTGTTTCACCAGCGGCCCTTCATATCATCGGAAACCTGAAATGAAGTGTACTTTAAATCTGTGTTTAAATTACCAGTTGCCTTCAAGTCAATGTGATTTGGGATGGGAAAGCACAGGAATGCCTGTGCCTGGCGGAGAGGAGGGATTTTGGGAATCCTCCGTCCTCCCCGCAGGCTGCGCGCACGCATCTCCTCAAAGCACGGGATTATCTTTGTGTGAATCAAAGAGCAGAATTAAAACCTGTATGTAGCCTGACAAGAGAGGGAAATGAAGCAAATGAGAGCACTCATTTCGAGACAAAACTTGGTGGCAGTGTGACTTTGGGAGCAAAGCCCTTCCCGGGCGCTCCTGGGAACCCTGGGGGACCCTGTCAGAGGTGGCTTGGCCAGAGAAAAACACCAAAAGGAACTCAAAGCAACGACTGGGACAATCAGATGTCAAAACCAGGGCCGGGCTTTGGGACACTTGCTCAGGACTTTGCCCTTCGGAAGGAAGTTTTTTTAATTCCCGCTCCGACGCCGTTGCGGAAGGACCTTTTGTGGAGAGGGGGCAGCTGCTCCCCCCTGCCCAGCCTGGACAGGCAGCTGCTCAGCAGCACCAGGCACGAATCCCATCTCCCGGACAGCTGGCAGCTCAGGTACAACGGGTTGGTGCTCTGGAGAGTAAAGAAAAACAAAAAAAACCCCAAAAAAAATAGAGATAAGAGAAGGTAAAATTATGGATTTGTGTATTTGCCAGGACTTGTTCAGGATACAGAGCAAAGCAGGAACACAAAAGCAATTTATGCTTTGAATGACAGGGATGAGCTGTTATTTTCTAAGGATTTATCGTGTTCAAAATCAGATTTCTTCATTGTTTTTTATACATTTCTGGTCTAAAATACTGATACTATTATGTTTAGGGTATGATATGAATTGTTTTCAGTGATGCTGACCAGCTGTGACATAGTTTCTTTGGAACAACACAGGTGTTTATTGCTGGAAAATGAGATTTTTTCAGGGAAAAATGAAATACCAGCCTTGTCTGACCTGTGTGAACTTCTGAGGCTTAAATTACAGATAAGAGAAAACAAAAATAGCTGTAAAGCTAAAATTTGGAGGATGCTTTCCAGTAGTTATGACCAATTCTGGAAGTAGTTCTGAATAAGTTTAATAATGACAAAATAGTAATGGGAATTTTAAAAAGTCTGCATAAAAATCCAGGTGTGGACAAAAATCCAGGGTTTTGTACACATTCTTTTTACTTGCACTCTATAGGATAAAAAAAAGCCAACTACATAAAAACTTTCACATATTTCAACAGCTCTTAAAATAAACTGCATTTAATTACTGCTGAATTATAAAATAAAACCATTTCCTGGCATGTCTGTGGTTGCTTTGTGTGTATTTCATCACATCCTGATTTTCCATCTTAAAGTCATATTCTGTAATCTCTAAAAATTTCATGCAAAGCCATAGGATTAACACCTGGAATTGCTGGTAAAATTGCCATTAACTTAATTAGGATTTGTTTTAATTCAGTGTTTTATTGCTCTTATTCAATACTGGTTATCAAGTTAATTTTTTTGTATGTTTAATGACTTTTTCTGCAACCAACACCTTCTGCCACTGACAAGGCGTTTCCTAGACTGAATTTTCTCCCTAATACAAAAAACCACTTTTTTAAAGAAAAAAAACCTATAAAAACCAAAAGAACATGCATAGAGACATTTCCTTTTTTAATTTTTAGCTGCTATTACACTAGATTTCCTGAACAAATAACTTTTATTTGACATTTATTGAAGCAATTAAAATCCTTTTAACCATGATATCATCACCATAAAGAGAACCCATCCATTAGGAAATGTGGCTACTCAGATCCAGCTGTGTCTAAATAAATCAGTTGATTATAAATAAGTTAATTAGTTTATAAACTCACTAGCAATAAGAGAAATTAATACATATACGTCTAATTGCACTTCTTTGAGATATGGAAGGAATTCAGATTAAATGGAAGGAGATTTGTGATTTTTCTCTTTTCCATCCACGATTTCAGTTCCCCACACTCCACATTAAATATGCACTGAGTTGCTCACATGATTATTTCAGAGGCTTGCATATTTTATTAATAACACCAGGAAAAATTAGGCTATGCTCCAGGAAAATTAGGTAATACTATTTAACCAATAGCTTTAATACAAGAAAGTTCTTTTGTTTTATAAAAAAATAAAAAAACAGAGCAGCAAAGAAGCAACTCAAGCAAACAAAATTAATTTAAATAAAGAAGTAATTTAAGAGGAATTGAAGAGATCTGGGAGTAATTGGAGAATGGGACTTACCATGGAAGGGCCGACTGGGAAACCCGAGCACACCAATGTCATGGAGACCCACAGGACGAAAACCAAGTTCAACCTGCATAGACTTCAAAGAAAAGCTGAGATTAATGAAAATTTGGACCCAAACCAAGCAAAATATGAACAGAGAGCATCCCAAGCACCAAGAACCCGGCGGTGGCTTTACCTGCTCATTTTCTGCCCAGCGCTGTGTGCGTGACCATGCAGCTCCACATCCAAATTCCTCACATATCCTTTCAGTTCTTCCTCAGGTGACCATTTTATACCAGAGTTCAGGAGGGAAAATGTCATCAAAGCTGATTTTATTCTGACTAATTGCTCCTTGTTTGGCCTTTTCTTCTTGTTAAATGGGAAAATGGCAAGAACACGCTCAGCTGCCATCGCCAACCCCGGGATTTCATTTAAAGTGTCCCATTAAATGTCTCTCAAGTGGTTTTATTGTTACCTCTGTGTCATCACTGCAAGCCTGGTCAGAGGGCTAAAGATTTCAAAAATCCATCTCAAGAGTTTGTTGCCACTTCCAATATATCAGGTGGAGACCTTGCAAAGCCTGGCAGAAAGAGAGAAACATTAAAAGTGCATTTTAAGTAAAAAAGTCCTCAAATAGTCTTATTATACTCACAACAACCCAATACAAAGAATAATATTTAATTTTTTCTATCTTTCTCCCCCAACATTATTTTTTTACCTGCTTAGTTCTAAATACACCAAATGATTTTTTTTTTCTGACAATTGAAATTCTTTGGACATTAATTTCTACCATGCAGCCATATCTCAGCCCACACTGAGTTTAGCCAATCCAAACTTGTATAGGATTAATAAACTCTGTTAATCTCATTAATAAACTCTGTTAATCTCCAGCAACACAGCAAATGTTTCGTGTCTAAAAGCATCATTTGTTGCTACAGCAAATTTAATGGTGCAGCATTTTGGGGGATTCTGTGGTTTATTTGTCCAGAGTGGGGTGAAAGTGCTGAATCCCACAAGGCCTGGGAATGTTGGGCTGCACAGGGAATGCTGAAAAAAAATTAAATTCCATTTATTTTTTCTGAGAATGAGCACCACATCTACAAAAACATGCTGGACTCACTGATCCAAGAGTTTTTCCAGCTTTAACCATTCCAGGGTTCCAAAGAAAACACTGAGGATCATTTTCTGACAGTCACAGAGTGTCAGACATGCACACAGTGAGGCACAAACCCCAAATGTTGCATTTCCTTTGGTGTTTACACTGAAAAATCACCAGACAAGGGCTCCAGAAGGGACCCTGGTGTGAGTCTGTGGGGAGACTGAGCTGTTATATATTATGCCAAATTTCACTGCAATATTTCAGGTAATTTTGACCATTTGGAAGGTTTTTTCCAACCATGCTGATCCCATGATGCTGAGATTCAGTCTCCTGATAAAGTGCATTTCATTCCAGGAGCCGGAGAACTGTGAGGAGAAACCCAGTGGCATGGAAGAACCTTTAGGGGTTTTAAACAAAAATTCCTGATGTGGTCTCAGCCTGTGCTTGACCATTTCTCCCTCATCATGGGGGTGCTGATCACGTCGTGGTTGACAAAATCCAAGACTCTGAAATTACTTTCTAAAAAGAAAAAGTGGTTTTAAAAGAATTGTGGTTGCTGGTGAAGCTCTCCAGGATTCTTCAGACCCAGGAGGGCTGAAATGAGAATGAAATTTGCCTTTACATGAATGAGAATGAAATTTGCCTGCAGCTTTATAAACCCATCAGCAGAACAGGTGACCATTGCATTTCCAGCCTTATTCAGAGAGCAAATCTCTCTTTGAATGGAACCTCCCATTCCCACTCGTCCAGGACCTCCAAGTGCAAGGATAAGAGGATTAGGTCGTGTTCCTGCTGCTCAGAAAAGCATTTTGGGCTGGATTCTGCCTGGGCACTGCCCAGCTCAGCTCTCATTGTGTCTGCAGTTAGTCCAGCTCCGTTTTAATCTGAAATTAACCTTCACACAAACCCTTTTTGTGGAACACTTTTCTGAGGGACCAGAACATGTTGGTGATTAAAGCTCAGGGTTTCCAGGTTCAGCCTGGCACTCTCTGGGTAAACTTTGGTGCATTATTGACTTATTTTTTTTAAATCCTGAGTTCTTTGAGGCCCAGGTGATCTCCCATTGGGCCTGGTCAGTCCCTCCTATCTCACCTTTCTCCCATCCTTCTAAAAGAGAGGTTTTGACCAGGTCAGAAATCACAAATTGCTTTGGAACTGAAGAACCACAGGGTCACAGAATAGTTTGGGTTGGAAAAGCCCCCTGAGACTGAGTCCAGCCATTCCCCAGCACTGCCCCATGTCCCCAGGTGCCACCTCCACAGGGCTTTAAATCCCTCCAGGACTGGAACTCCTCCCCTGTTCCAATATGGGGGAGGAGTTGGAGTGCCCTTTTTGGGAAGAGAAATTCCCAATATCCAACCTGAACCTCCCCTGGAGACTCAGATGGTACCAGGGCAGGAGCCACTGAGACATCACCACGGGGCCCAAGGGCTTTGCCCAACCCTCAGGCACACACAGAAATATTTCCTGACCATTCCATCCTCCCATTTGCTCCTCCCTCCTTGGAGGGTCTTTTTTCCCAGCTTTTCAGGATGCAGTCTAACACAAATCACACCTGTGATTTGCATGCTTGAAGCACAGATGGAGATCCAGCTCCATTCCAGATATTCCCACTTCAGGTTGGGAGGAATCAGGTTGAACAGAACAAGTGGCAATTGACATTTCTGTCTCCGGCTCTGTCTGCAGAGGCTCTGCTCCCAGGCTGGGTTCACTGGCAGCTATCAGAGGTCAAACGAATCATTAGAAACCACAATAAAACCTCCCAGCATCCATAAAATTTGTATTTTTTTCAGAATAAACCAGAAGCAGTATCAGCAACAAAATCACCTCTTCCCTCCTGATTACCTTGTTGGAGGGATGATGTGTTAAACCTCAGCGCTGCTTTCCTTTGGTTTTCCCCCAAAATCATATGGAACAACACAAAATTCACAGCTGAGCCTATCAAACCTTGCAAGCTTTTGAGGTTAATAATCCTATAAGTTTTAGAACACAGTATTTCTTTCTTCCAACCCAATAGTCAATCCAAAGTGTTTTAAATTGGCATTGTGGGACTTTGCTAAGGGATCAAACAAAAAATGAATGAACACACCTCAACCTGTCCATTGGCATAACCCCAAAAGTTGTAAAATCACAGCTCCTGATAAAGGCAAGGCTCAAAATCTCATTTCCTTCTGGGATGCTCCCAGTGAAACCTCAGCATGGCTTTGCTGGAGGAAGCTGCTGGGATATTTTGTTCCAAACTCAATGGGTTTGGTTTTTT